AGAACATATAGACACCTATGGATAGTAGAAATGCAATTGTATCTTCTTCTTCACTTTTGACATCAAACAATAGCTTCAATAACTCTCTATCCATTCTCGCATTTTGGATTGCCCATCTTAACAGTGAAATGTTTAGTCAACGATGCGTCGTGGTTGCTTCTTCAACAAATATTGTTATTCAATTGACCATTCAGAAGATGAGTGTTTAGAATAGGTCGATCTTCAATGGTAGCATAACGTTAGGAGACATTTCTGCTGGAGAGTCCTTTATGATGACGGCACGGGAGTAACGATTTCTAGGTGTAACCATTTGTGATAGTGGCGTAGTGCTTAGGGTTTTGAGAGGAAATGGGATTTCAATTCGAGAGGATTTTGGGGAACCCTATTGAGGGTTTTCTCTCACATTTAGTTTGAAATTGGCGATGATATAGTAAAATTTTAGAGTCCAATAATAGATTGGTTCCAAAAGATAATGGAAAGATTTTGTTAACTCTTGTAAATCTCCATTAGCATATAACGTCCCATAAATTATGCATGTGTCATATGTATTTATTTAGCTCTTGTTTGGCCTGGGAAATGTATTTTGGAGTGGTTAAAAATGAATGTAAAATTTTGAATTTACGTGTAATATTAATTTATCAGAGAATGTGTGGTTGATAAGAAGAAGGAGAAAAATGAATTATAATTTTAATGGAAGTATGTGCTTAAACTATAATCATTTTTGCTGCAGGTTAATTGTCATTTTAGAATAAAAAAGATGTAAAGTACAAATGGAATTATAATTTATATGGGAATATATGATTTAGCATGTGTTTGGCACTCATTTTAGATGTATTATAAATTTTGGAATAATGATTGATAAAAGAATGTTTGGTTGAAAAGTAATGAAAAGTTTTGAATTTGTGTGTATTATTATTTTATTTGAAAAATGTGTGGTTATAATTAAGAAAGAGAAATTTTCTAAAAAAAATAACAGGTGTCAAACACAAGCTTAATTTGTTCAATATATTTTAGGACTAAAAGGCTCGGCGCCCATTTCCGCTAAAAAAATTTGGCCCAAACGATATTCACTTACCCTTTTTCTGGGAAATTACCATAAATCAGGCGTTTAGTTTCACGTTTTAAAAAATCAAGTTTTCACTTTATTCTCCAATTTTTAGGTTTTTATCATTTTTATCTATCCAAACCCTAAATTTATCCATTTTTCTTCACTCTCTCACCTTTCTTTACAACGTCGTTCTCTCCATCCTCTCACAACCATCGTCTGCAGCCTCCTCTCTCCCCCTCCTTCCCTATTGGCGTCGCGGCGTTGTTGTGAACGGCAGCAGCGCGCTACGCTTTGTCCCCTCCTCCCTCCCTCTCTCTCTCTCTCTCTCTCTCTCTCGTCTTATCTTCTTTCTCCAAGCACTCACGTCGCCTCCACAGCGAACTGCGAGGACGAATCGTAGCGAATCAGTGGGCAAAAACTCGAGAATGAGCACGGAGCACCACACCAGAACACACACGATATGTGATCCAATGTTTGTGGTGGGCGGTAGATCTGGTGGCAACCGTCGCGAAAATGTGGTATAGTTTTGGAAAATGTTGCAGATCTGGGGATGTGTGGTTGTGGAGGTGGTGGATCTGTGGTGCTATGTTTTGGGCGGTGGTGGTGGATCTGTGGTGGCGGTCGTGTGGTGGTGATGGTTTTTTTTATTGTTATGGCGGGGTCAACGGCAGTAGTGGTTCTTTTTTGTGTCTGTGACATAACTATTGAACTGTGATTTTAAAATTGATAATTTGTAACTAAAAAAAGAATATGTGACCAATAAATTTGAAAATACATGACATGTGATATATAATTTTTTTTATCTGTGACCTACAAAATTTTTGATATGTGACCGATAAAAAAATTGTGACCTAAAGATTTTAGATTTGTGAACTCGAAATAATCTATGACCTACAAAATTTGTGATCTGTGATCGGTCGTCGGAGCAGTAGGGAGGTGGAGGTAGGGTGAGTTAATTATATTATATTACAGTTAAATATTTAATTTAGTATAATAATTGTGAAATATAATTAATTAATTCATAAAAAACCCGATTTTTACAATTCTAAACCTTGTGACCTGATTTTTGATTTTGGGATAGATAAAACCTGAGTTGTAGATTTTTCCCTTTTTTTCTTGTCAACAAATCTCACATCTAGGCCGACTAATTATTTTTAATCTATAAATGTTATTTCACTGACTATTTTTGGGTGGGTCGGGAAAGACCATTTTCATTGGCTATTTTTATTAGTCGAGAAAAATCTGATCGGCAAAGATTTTCCGCGACTAATTATTTTTATTGGTCAGTAAACAATATTTTTGGAAATAAATTTTTTCTACATATTTTATAAAGCTTTTACTAAATAATTTCCTCTTAAAAAATAATTAAAAATTTTAAATAGGTTAAATTACATATTAAAATGTCATCTCTAACTAGAAGAAAAAAATAAACACTTGTTTCAAAAAATCAAACAACATTGCAAAATGAAGTTAAGATAACAAACAAAGAGCGTTGCAAAATATAATAAAAGCAACGGATGAAATACATCGCAAAAACTTGACAACAATGTGCATTTGAGGCCTTTTGCAATGTATTGCACATCCTTATACTATACAACAACATTAGAACCTACAACATAGGGTGAGCATTGTGAAATACATACAACTACTTTTTTGTCCGTTCCAAAAATAGTTTTTCTTATAACAATTTTTTTCATCATCTATAGAATTTAGCAACAAATATTCTTTATCGCAAAAAGTAGATTCTATTGCATCACAAACACTTTGTTGTAAGAAATAAAAGTTTGTCGCCGTAAGTTTCCCATAAAAAATATTTTGGCGCCTTACTTCTCTCATGTTTTGTACGATGATCTTTATTGTTTGTTGCGCTTTCACACATTTCACGATAACTTTTAATGTCGTCTTATAGTTTTTGGTACTTATTTTTTTTCGTATCAATCTTTGCAATAAATTTAAAAAATGTGTTGCACTAAATCTCTTATTGCGACAACTTTTCTTTTATCGCAAAATATCTTGGTGTAAAATCACATTTTTGTTGTAGCAGTAGTCTGAGTTCATTTCTATTTTTATACATTCATTTGATAAAAAATCTATTGGACATCAATTTAATTAACACTTCTCTTGCTCGTATAATTTAATACAAAAGTAAGATGAAAGTGTAATCTTTTAATAATTAAAAAGTAATGTAAAATAAATAAATTCAGAAAACTTGAGGAATTGGAAACCAAAGCCCCCCTACGCTTCTGTTATGGTAACTGACTATCCTACTATCACATTTGATAACGAGGTCGGAAAGTTTTATGGTTTGTTTGAGCTCCATTTTTGGGTTATTAGATTTTGTAATAGTGATATTTTAAAAAATGCATGATTAAACATGAACAAATATTTTTACGTCTAAAATTATTTTATTAAGAAAATGTATAATTAAAAATAAATTTCAAACATAGACTTAAATATTATATGTACAATTGTGTTCAAACTTATCACTAAACATCGTGGACATACCATAGCCGATGGAGAAAGTGGTCATGAATTGCTAGTAGGCGCACCAATCCGACAAGGAAGCTACAAACGTATTTGAATGCATCACATCTTTCGTTTGGTCGCTTACCTGATAATATATTTTATTACGTCTCTTCCAACGAAACTCTAAATAATGCAAAGTGGTAGCTACATAACAAATGAATCTAGGCCTACACTCCACGTCACCGAACCCTAATTTGATCAAACCCCCATTGGGCCATAGGCCATACCCCTATAGAGAGTTGAGCCATGATGGATGAGGTGAGATATGTAGAGGCTCATTGGGCCATTGGCCTAACCCCTACAGAGAGTTGAGCCTTGATGGATGAGGTGAGATATGTAGAGGCATTTTAGAGAAGATCTTGTACCAAGTGGATAATTTGACAACTCATTAATTAGGCGAATCTACTCAATCAAACAAGTCAAGTCAAATCTTCCATGTCAGGCCTAGGGTTGCCAAGCAATTACAACATTAAATGCAGCATGGTTTGATAATGATTGATTGATATCTATGACAAGAGATCCTAACTGCTAGGACGAGGTCACGTGTCTCTTCATCCAACGACTCACTCATCATTTTCTACTATAAAATTTCACACTTAGTGTCATTTCAGGGTAATGCAAGTTTAGACTCTGAAACTTTAACTTTACCATATCACTATTTTATTCATTACTCCTCAAAATCGACTTCCTTTTTATATTGGAGGCTCACATTTAAAGTCTTACACACTTATATATTTACTTTCCCAACTGACTTATCCGTCAAATGAGCATGGCCATCTCCACCCCGCCTGAGGAAGCCATGTGTAACTAACGATCTATTCAAGTGTGCAGGAATTGAGTTTGCGTGGATGTAAGAGGTTTTGGAATTCGTTAGCCACATTGAAGGTACATTTTTTGATGTCAACACATTTAAATTAAGAGTCGCATTTGAAACAAGAGAGATTTCCTGGCTCCATTATGACGAATTTGACTTCCCATTTCACCGTACTAATATTATAATAAAATGCTAACTTTTGACTCCACCTTTTGACGTATGCACTTATTTGAGTCTGATTTTGACAACATATTTTAGAGAACGTATAATTAAATGTAGAAAAAAAAATTGGATTAACGTGCAAATTATTTTATTAATAGTATGTGGTTGAAAATTAATTTGAAAAAAAATGAGTTTTTGGATTGAGTGGCTCAAAAACAAGCTATGTATAAATTGAGAGCTGTTGCTACAAATTCTCAAAGCATTACATTGCAACTCTTCAATTCCTCGGCGTGTTCTCTTGTCATGAGAATTTGAATTCTTTTACACTAAAAATAGGTTATATTAGCTTCTTTGAAAAGCCTCATATAGTTTGCATACCATTCCATGCACAAGGACACATTAATACATAAATCCCATGTTGAAACTGGCCAAACTTCATCAAAAAGGTTTTCACGTCACTATTGTTAACACAGAGTTCAACCATAGACACCTCCTCAAATCTAAAGGTCCTGACTCACTCAAAGGCCTCAAATCCTTTAGATTCGAAACAATTCTCGTTGGCCTTCCTATATCAGATGCTACATAAGATATCCCCACCTTGTGTGAATCCACCACCAATACTTGCTTAGCTCCTTTTATGGACATCCTTGCTAGATTAAATGATATAGTTTCATCAAACGTACCACTGTTTTCATGCATTATTTCTAATGGAGCTATGAGCTTCACCCTTGAAGCTGTAGAAGCTGTAGAAGAATTAGTCATCCCTGAAGTTCTCTTCTGGACTACTTATAAGAAATGCTGATAAAAATGAATGGAAAGATAAATAAACTGATGAAATTAATAAAGCATCTATAGTCGATGCATTCTGTTTTTCATATATCTATGATGGAAAAGATGGCATACACATACACACACACACACACGCACTCACACAATTCAACAGATAAAAACTGCACATGTGGTAAACAAAAAATTTGTTACAAAAAGTATGCACTATTAACAGAATTTGGAATCCAATTGCAAACGCATCAGGCCATGTGGGTGAGCTGGTAATGCTGTCTTCTAGGACCTTCTTGGCTGCACGTCAATTTGATCTTCAACAGCCCCCCCTCCCCCTCCCCCTCCCCTTAAAGATGGAGAGTGGATATTTTCTACTCCCATCTTGGACATATGGAAATAGAAGGCGTCCGAAGGGAGAGGTTTGGTAAAAATATCTGCAATTTGAGATCCAGTTTTGACATGTCTTGTGATAACACTTCCTTCATGAATTTTATCGCATACAAAGTGACAATCCAATTCAATATGTTTGGTTTTTTCATGGAACACGGGGTTGGCAACTATATGCAATGCTACCTGATTATCACAGAATAATTTAGCCGGCTGTGAGTGAGGAACCTGCAAGTCATCAAGAATATACTTTAGCCATGTTAGTTCACAACAGGCAGCTGCTATTGCCTTATATTTTGACTCTGCTGAGGATCTAGAGATAGTATTTTGCTTCTTTGATTTTCAGGACACTAGAGAGGAACCAATAAACATAGAATAACCAGTGATAGATCTTTGAGAATCTGGACATCCTTCCTAATCACGATCACTATAAGCTTTAAGCTGCAAGGTGGATAATGAAGGAAAGAATAACCCTTGTCCTGGATCTCTTTTGATGTATCTAAGAACTTTGTGTGCCGCATTAAGATGTGGCAATCTAGGATTCTACACATACTGACTTAGCAAATGTAGTGAGTATGTTAAATCAGGTTTAATGATTGTTAAGTAAATCAATCTTCCAATCAATCTCCTGTATAGAGCAGTGTCAGACAAAATTTCCCCTTCATCCTTGGATAGCTTGATGTTTTGGTCAAGTGGAATCTTGGCTGGAGTGACCCCAATTGTTCCTGAATCGGCTAAGATATCCAGTGCATACTTCATTTGACAAATCTGGATTCCTTTTGCTGATCGAGCAACCTCAATTCCAAGGAAATATTTCAGATTTCCCAAATCCTTAATTTTATAATTATCATTTAGGGAGCCCTTAAGTAAATCTATGACTTTATCATTATTCCCAACAATAATTATATCATCAACATAAACCGATATCGTTGTGAAGGATTTCTCTATGCCCTTTATGAACAAGTTGTAATCCACCTTGGACTGTTGAAAACCTTGATTAGTGATGAAAATGGGCAACTTTTAGTACCATTATCGAGATGCTTGTTTCAATCCGTACTGACAACTTTGAGTACCATTATCGAGATGCTTGTTTCAATCCGTACAAACTTTTATTGAACCTGCAGACCTTTGATGCTTCATTTTCAAGGTATCCAGGAGGCATTTGCATATGTACATCTTCTTCTAAATCTCTGTACAAGAAGGCATTGTTAACGTCGAACTGGTGCAAGTACCATCCCTTTATTGCTTCTACTGCAAGTAGGGTCCTCACCGTTACCATCTTTGCTATTAGTGAGAATGTTTCGTGGTAATCTATTCCTTCCAACTGGGTATATCCCTTTGCCACTAATCTTGCCTCATGTCTTTCAGTTGTTCCACCAGCATTGAATTTCACCTTATAAACTCATCTACATCCTATAGGTACCTTTCCAGGTGGGAGTTTAGTCACATTCCAAGTTTGATTCGACTTGAGTGCCTTTATCACTGCTTGCATAGCCTTAAGCCATTCAGGGTATTTCACGGCTTCTGGATAAGAATTAGGCTCTAGATGCTCAAGTATAGATAAGGTAAAAGCTTTATGTTTGCTGGATAGTTTATGATGTGAAAGTGTTGCACTTAAGGGAAAAGCATTAACTGATTTCATAGAACCTTTCTACTTGTTGAACTTTTAAGAATGAAAGAGTGATGATGCCTATTGACAAATGACATCCTGCAAATAGGTAGGTGTTTTTCTATTTCTATCAGAGCTTCAAAGTGTATGAGGACTGTCTAGGACATTTGGCAACAAGTCATATTCAGTAGAATCCTTATCCTTTCCTGGAGGCTCTAAATTCTGACTAAGATCACGTGTTGGTTCTGTTTGTAATTCATGTCTTGAATGAATAGGGTAGCTTAAGTCAAAGTCACTTGGTTGGATATAGGGTGAATTTGTAAAACTTGGAAGCTCATCAACGGTTTTTGGCAGTTCATTTTTAATTTCAGAAGTAGATGTTTTATATGGGAATATTTTTTCATGAAATGTCATATCTCTGGATATGAAAATTTTGTTGGTTTCTAAGTCCTGTAATTTGTACCCCTTGGTCCCGAAGGGTTATCCTAAGAAGACGCAATTTCTAGCTCTAGAATCGAATTTATGTCTATTGTGGCTGAGTGTGGTGGCAAATGCAAGGCAGCCAAATACCCTAAGATTGGAATAATTCGATTTGGTTTTGAAAAGAACTTCAAAAGGGCTTTTGTTTCCAAGGTTGGGAGTGGGTGTTCTATTGATGAGAAAGATAGCAGTTAAGACATAATCATTCCAGAATAAGATAGGCAATTCACTCTGGAATCTTAGTGCTCTAGCCATATTTAAGATGTGCTGGTGTTTCCTTTCAACAACGGCATTTTGTTGGGGGGGGGGTTTCTACACATGTGGTTTGGTGTATGATACCTTTTTCTGGGTAAAGTTATTTTAGGTTGAACTCTCCTCCATTGTCAGTTCTAATGGCCTTTATTTTGAAACTAAATTGAGCCTAAATCATGGCATAAAAAATTTGTAAGACAGTGGATGCATCAGATTTTAGTTTTAGTAAATAAACCCAAGTACATCTGCTGTGATCATAAAAAATAGTAAGGAAATACTTTGATCCATCATAAGCAATGTCAATACAAGGTCTCCACAAATCGCAATAAATTAAGTCAAAGCAATTTTGTGATCTGTATTGGCTGATATCAAAAGGCAGCCTATGTAACTTGGCTAAAGGACAAATAGGGAAATGTTTATTGTTGTGTTTTCCCTTAAGACCTTGTCGTAAACTAGTTAAATGTGACCTTGAGTCTGATAAGTGGCCTAATTTGAAATGCCATAGATCAGGTTCTTCTTGATTGGTATTAGTAAAGACAGATAGAACAATTTTGTTACTCAGTTTTGGTAGGTCCTGAACAAGAGAAGTGGGGTATACATCTTTCAGTAGTAGATGGTATAGGCCTTTCCTTTCTTCACCCAAACCTATAGTCCTCCAAGTTGAAAGGTTCTGCACATAACAAGAGTTAGAAGAAAAAAATGAGGCAGCACTTAGATCCTTGAGCTAGTTTTCTGGCAAATATGAGATTGAAAGAAAAAGATGGGACACATAAGACATCATGGAGAAAAAATTATTTGTGATCCTAACGCTTCCTATATGAGTGGCTAATGTTGTGTTTCCATTAGGCAATGCAACAGATTGTGAGATTTTAGATTGGATGGTGGTGAGAAAAGATATTGAGCAAACCATATGGTCTGTGGCTCCTGTATCCACAATCCAAAGTGTGCTGGAATTTGTTTTATTCTTTACCTTGTAAGCAGATGAACATTTATAAAGAATATCAAGTGTATGTGTGTGTTTGGGAGAAACCAAATTCAGACCCTGAACATGAATAGCAGATAGTGTATGAGGCTAACTGATATGTGGCTTGAGTAGAGCCATCAACTGAGTATACTGCTCATGAGTCAAACTAACTTGGTTCCTGTTATTAGCACCATAGGTTGAAAATTCTGGCCTGCAGAGGTGAGGTTTACTTGCGATTTTTCATAGAGTCTATGACCTGGTGGATATCCATTTATCTTGAAACAATTGTTGATAGTGTGTCTGGGCATTTGACAGCATGTGCACATAGGCTTATCCTTGTTGGCTTTAAAACACATTTCCAGTTAATGACCTGGTATTTTGCAAAAGGTGCAATAATATTTCTTCTGTGGTCCTATATTCCTCTTTTCTGCCTCCCTTGGAATGATTCTTGACACAAGCGCCATTCCTTCATTGTTAGGGACATCAGTGGAAATATCTTTTCTCTTCCTGCTGAATTACGGAGTAAACTTCATTTAATTTTGGGGATGGCTTGTTCAGCAGGATTTGAGCCTTAAGTACCATATATGATTCATTTAATCCCATAAGAAACTTCATTATTCAATCCCTTTCCTGGTTGTTGACAACAATCCTCAACCCTCCATGGGTGCAATTCATCAATTCATCAAGTAGTGTTTTCAGTTTTGAAAAAAAAAGGTACTCACAGTATCCTATCCTTGCAGCAACCCAGCAATGTTTTGCTTGACTTCATAAATCCTGGGAGCATTCTGTTGAGCCAGGCGTTGTTCCAATTCAAGCCAGAGCTGGTGTGCTATCTCAGCATACAAGGTGCTAGCCTCAATGTCTACCGTCATGGTGTTTTGCAGCGAAGTAATAACTATATCATTGTATCTGAGCTAATGCTTCATCAAGGGGTTGTGTATGTCAGCTGGTTCACAGATGCTACCATCAATGAAGCCAAGCTTGTTCTTGATTCGAAGAGCCCTCTTCACGGACCTTGCCCAAGAGTGATAATTAATGGAATCGAGCTGCTATGTAACGAATAGTGCTCCTGAATTTTCGTTTGCTCCAATGAAGTAGGGCTGTTGGGAAGTACGGGATCATGAGTGTTGATTAATTGATGAATCATGCCTCGTTGCTGTTAGTGTTTTCGGAGATTATGTATTCATTTGTGATGTTTCTAGCATAAAAAATATATAAAAAAGGTCATTAATGTATTAGTTTAATAATTTATTTATCAATGTTGGAAAAAATCATGTAACAAATATAGGA